CTGCCGCTGCCGCCGCCGTCGCTGCGCTGCTCCCGCGCGGCTCCCGCTCGGCGCCCGCTAGCACTGGGGCGGAACCAACTGCTCGCCGACGGAAGGGGAATAACGCAGCACCCGCCGAAGGCGTGTGGCTCCGAAGCGGAACTTCAGGAGACCTCAGATCCCCAGATTTGCTTTTGCCTAACAGTTGCAGCCAGGCGGATAGAGAGATGGGTGCAAAGTAACAAAGGAGTGGGCGCAAACAGCTCGGCCCGCTGCGGTCCCCCCTGCGGTTTGCGGAGTGGTCGGGCCCGGCCCGCCCCTGCTGGCTGCTCTGCGTGTGTGTATTTGTATGTGTACTGTATGTAAAAGGCGGGGAGGGAGGAAACGATTGTTGTGGACGGGGTTTGGGGGCGGGTATCCGGGCCTCCAGCCCTTGGCTGTGTGTTAGGCAGAACCTGGCAGCCTAAGTTGCATGTTCTTGCATCGTTTCCCAGGGTGGAGAGGTTTTAAATGCTGCACTTGCGCGGTTTGCACCATCTAAAAAAGAACTGTACAAAAACCCATAAATGAAATCCGAGCATGAGGCGGTTGCAGGGTGTGCAGCTTGTAGGCCTCTAAAACCTGCTGAAGGGGCCTAGCAGTCTCCTTTTACTCGAAATTGTAATATGAGAAAGCCCCATTTCTTTTCTTTTAAATTTAAAGCACCAAGAACTATTAAGAAAAATGCAATCCTAACGAATGCAAACGTGCAGGATAGAAAACAATGGCAGGAAAGCATAAGCCTTTTAGATAGGATGTGGGTTTGGGCCCATAGTAATTTTAGTTGCGTCTAAATTTTATTTCTCTAGTAGAATGGTAGCTGTTAGGTGGTACAGTGTAAAAAGTGCTACTAAACCTCAAATATTTTTAATCACTCAAAATACTATTCAAGAGATTTCTAAAATTATCTTTTATCATTTAGCCAATATTTTTTTTTTACTGTGTTGGTAGTAATATGCCCAACCTTGTGATGTGAATTGATAATTCAGTATTTTTACTGTATCAGAACTACGGCACCAGAATTGTCTAATTTTATTTAACCATTAACATACACTCAGGTTTCCAATAAATGTAGCAAATAAGAAGGTATTTTGAAAAGTAATAAAAACTAATCTTAAATTTTGTTTTATCTTTCATTTGAACCCCCCTAACCCCAGAAATACCTACTGTGTGTCAAGCACTATTAGATGCTAGGAATACAACCATGAAAAACAAGCACAGATACCATTTGAAACAATGAAAATAATGAAAAAAGCATAAGAATATTAAAATATAGAAATAATAGTATGTAGTTCATACTTCTTTAAATGAAGGACTCACAACTGGGAAAAATTAAGAAAAGCTTAATATTATAAAAGTAAAAACTGATAAGACTTTTTAAAAAGAGATACGCATAGACTTTTAAAAGGAAAGAAAGAAGACATTTCCAGTGCAAAATGTCTTGCAAGGAGACTGAATCATACCTCAACAACAGGCAGAGGGTTCCAAGTGCTGCAAAAAGAGAAATTGACTGGCAAGGGAGAGGGAAGGGTTGGAGAAATGTCTTGAAGCTTCTTACCCTGAATTTGAGTTTGATGTGATGTATACTAGGGAGCTACTATAGACTGGTGAGCAAGAAAGGTAAAGATGAGTCTAGAAAGTTTTTCCTGCTTGCTACAAAGTTAGATAGCAGTAGAAAGAGGCTGGAGGGTTACTGCTGTACTCTCTGAGTGACTGGTTTCTGGATGAGATTGTTGACTATGAAAAAGTTGACTATGAAAAAAGGGCAGAGCTAAGTACACAAAGGAATAATTGTCTGTTAGTCATAAATCGTGCACAGGAAAAAGGAGAGAAAGATGTATTGAAGAAAATTCCAAGACACTGAATAGGTGAGACCATGGCATCATCCAGCAATTTCTTGTGCACCTCCTCTGTTCTAAGCCCAGTAAGGCTTTGCAACTCCAAGTGTGGTCCAGGACCCAGCAGCAGGATGGGCTTCACCTGGGATCTTGTTAGCAGAAACTCAGTCCCTCCCAGATCTGCTAAATCAGAATCTGCATTTTAACAAGATTCCCAGATGATTCTTATGCATATTCAAGTTTGAGAAACTACTGCTGTTCAAGATGCTACAGACTCTAGGAACTTAAATAGGGAAGACAGATATGTATTAACAGATAAATTATGATTAATATTAAAAGATAAACTTTTATTAGTGTTAAATGATAGCACCAACAAGTAAAGAGGGAGTGGTTATGGGGGAGGGGTCCTCAGAAAATAGAAAACAGAGTGAAAATGTTAAAGCATTGATGTTTTAGTTTTAGTATTTTTTAAAAAGAAAGTACAAGCTTAGCTCTTGCTATCTTTAAGTTTTGGCAATTTCTATTTTTGATAGTCTGTACAAAACGGGTGATATCCCTTAAGTCAGGACAAAACAGGTGGTAGTTTAAGCCTCTAGAGAACAAAAGCCCAGATCCCTGGAGTAGCAGTTCCAAAGTGGAGGGGGAGGGGAGGCAGAGGGAGGCGGGAGTGTTGGGCTCATCAGAGCCACTTGGAGAGCTTTTCTGAACTAGTGTGAGCTTGTGCTCCTTCCAGGCGTGCTTGATGCGCCCCTCCCCCATAGTCAGCCTTCTTAGGGGTGGGTATGCTAGGAAAAATATAGCAAGATAGAGATTAGAGGAGCAATAAGAAAGTTGTAAGAAGGAAAAATACAATTTCCAAAACAACCGAAGCAAGGCGGGGGTAGGGGGAGACGGACAGGAGAAGGAGATACAAATGAATTGAGGCAGGAGCTTGACTTACATTCTCTCGTTTAATCTGGGTGCTACTAACCCCATTTTACAGATGAGAAAACAGCCTCACAAAAGTTCAGCAACTTGCCCCGAATCACACATCTGCTCAAGTGACCAAGGCAGCGGTCCAGCCAGTCTGTTCTCAAGTCCACGCCTTTGTGTGATCCCACACCACCTCTAGGTGGAGCCGGGGGCCAGCAGCACTGCATAATTAGAAAAAGATGCTGGAAGTAAAAGCAGCCCAGCACTCTTCCACCTTCTGTCTTTGGACTTGAAAGTATTCCCAGCTTCAAATTTCTTAACAACCTCCCTCTACCCCACCCATTCACCCGCTGCTTGTCCCCACCAGCAGCCCGTTCTGTTTAACTCCTTCTAATCCTAGAGGGCTCAATTCAAAAATCTCTTGAAAGACTTCTGACCTCATCTTATTGTGGCATAATTTCTTTTTTACAATCTTTCCAACTAGTCTTTAAACTAATTTGAAGTAGGCATAATCTGATCCTGCCCTCTAAATGCCCTGGCACTTAGCAGGCACCCAATAAAATTTTTCTCAAGAAATATTTGTTGAATAAATGAGAGGAAGGGGCAGTGAAAAACCCTGACGCGGTATCCCTTATCCGTTAGGCTGAAAAAGCAGATAAGAGGGTATTTGAGGGTATTTATGTTTGTTTTGACAGTGTGAATTTTTCATCTGCTTAAAGGTTAACCCTTTGAAAGCACTGACATTTTCCATTGACCACAAAGACATTCATTGTAACCATTTTAATGGAAATCATTCTAAGTGAGATTGGATACTTATCTCCAAAATTTAGCAATGATAATCCCTTCCTTCACATCTTTCACCTATAATATGTATAATTCCCCACACTAATACATAGTATTAGTAACATAATAAACTTATTGGTATGAATGCAATTACTGGACTGTTTAAGTGTGATATTTTAAACCTTGTGGTGGGGAAGTTAGCAAGAATATGGGGAAGATAAAGAACAGTGATCAAAGAGCTAGTTCAGTCAGAGATGTCACAAACCTAGGTCTAGGCCTGGCTTCCTCTGGAGATCAATAATAAGAGTTTGGAATTTTGGCCCTTATGAGGGGAAAAATAGAGATGTACTAGTCTGAGGCAGTGACTGGATTTATCAATGAGGAGAGTCATTCTCAGGCACAAGAGATAAGAAAACCATTAATGAGTCTGGGTGGTCATTAGAACAGCTGGAAAGAAGCTCCGCCAAGACAGGGATTGACCTGTGAGTGCTGTTGGTGCCTCTTCTGAAGGCTGCCTAGACTGGATGCTATTCCAATGGAATTTTTAAAATCACTGAATGATCTCCCTGTAATCACTTCTCATCTCAGACACTTGCTTTGCTTCTTTCTTACATCTCCACATCCAGTCTCAGTTAAAGGTTTCTCTTATCCCAATGTCAGTGAACCACATTCTTCTTTAGTCTTCTGCCTGTTCTTTGTGCCTTAATTCTTCTTCTTCTTTCTTGTATATAATTCCTCATTTTCTTGAA